AAAAAAAAAAAAAAAAAAAATTTTCGAAGATACACCACTTACAAAAAAGGGTAGACGTTATGAAGCAATTGTTGCAATTGATAAGTTGAAACCATGGCTAAATTTTCAGAGTGCCAATGATGATAGTGATGGCTCAAACAGTAGCAGTAAGGACGATGATGACCAAAGTTGTTGATTGTTCGTTTGGTCATATTATAATTACTATTCATTATTCATTATGTGTCACTAGGCCTTAATTTTATATTTTTTGGCAAGTGCTTGAAAGTTATTTTTTTTATTCGAATACCAAATCAAAAGTACTTTTGTATGTAAAAGATGTACTTTTATTTTATTTTTTTTATTCATGTATGTTTGAGATTTTTTTTGTGCTCACAATATTCAGGGTGTGCACATTAATATAAGATTATCTTATGCTCATGATATTCAGGGTGAGTATAGGAAAGAGCTTGCTTATAACGTTCTAAGCACAAGACAAGTGAACTCACAATATTCAGGGTGAGGTCACTACCTGGTCAACGTCCTGTGTAGTCTGCTGATTCTGGTCCAGGATGGTAAATTGAATGTAAGACTTTACTATACTGGATGGTAACAGGCACTGTAGACTTTACTGGGCGTAGGGTTTTGCTTGAATGTCATTGAATAATTCTACCTAAGCTTTAACATTATTGTAAACATATTATGCTATTGTTATTTACCTAGAAATTACTTTGTTAATGGCTAAACCAAACTCACAACGATGGGACTCGTTGCAGTAAAAGGATGGCCGAGTTGTAATAAATAATGTTAATAATCATAATAAACCCTATTATTAATATATTATTGTTACACCGTAATTAAATATTGTAAACGGTTAATATATTTCACTACAATTGAAATGTCAGTATATGTAACTTAGAAGTATTGAAACTACTAAAATTAAGACACCCTTCCGCCTGGCAGCGGAAAGGGGACTATAAAACGGAACGACGGGCGTGTCCGAGGCAGAATATAATAGTATTTGCGCTGTAATAGTCGTGTCGGAGTGAACTAGTGAAAATTGAAAGTTTATAAAGTTGATTCATTTAGTGTTGAGAAAATAAAAGAGAATAAGTGTAAACTGTGTTTATTTTAACATAAAATATAGAGTTTTAACCGTGAACTGAAGTTTGTTTTTACAATATGGAGTAATAACCGTGTACTGAAGTTTGTTTTTACACAAAGCCAACCAAAAGACGACTACGGACAAACTAAATAGTCTACAAAGAACTGCCTGTTTATTGGCAACTGGAACTATGCGATCATCGCCTGGAGCGGCTCTTAATGCACTTATATGCCTAGCGCCCCTTGATCTATATCTAGACAAGGAGGCGAGGGCTAGTTTGTATTGGATTAACGCCCAGGACGGTCTGAGCTTGCTCTCCTACAGATTTAGATCCATGCTCGACTCAATTAAGAAAACACCGGTCTTATGCATGATCTCAGATATCATGCGTCCACTACACACTTTTGATAAAAAGTATATAGTGAAATTACCCTCCAGAGAAAACTGGCTGAATGGCCAGGTTATCTGTAAGGTCGGTAGCCTCATATAGTATACCGATGGGTCTAAAATTGGCCTCGACGTAGGCTTTCCAGGCTGAAATTTTCGCCATACTTCAGTGTGCGGAAATCAATCTTCAAAAACACTACGTTAACCATATAGTTTATATAAACTCTGATAGTCAAGCAGCACTGCTAGCGCTGAGGTCGAACTTAGTGAACTCGAAGCTAGTTGGAGACAGCATGAACCGTTTAAATGCCCTGGGATGTAACAACAGGGTCGTCTTACGATGGGTTCCGGATCACGCGGGTATTGTAGGCAACGAATTTGCCGACAAACTTGCACGGGAGGGTTCGCAGTGCACACTTTTTGAACCTGAACTATTTTGTGGAATCTGAAGAAGCCTATCCCGATTGACCTTTGAAACTCTTTATCACAATAAATCACTTAAGATCTGGTCTGACACACCAGGCTGAAAATATTCTAAAAACTTGATCCGGGCTTTTGATCGTAAATTCGCTTAAGAAGCCCTGGGATTAAGTAAAAATAAATTGCGCATCTTGGTAAGAGCCCTAACTGGACACCGTTGTCTTAAAAAGTACATGTCCATCCTGGGTCTAAGCAACTCAAGGATGTGTCGGTTCTGTTCCATAACGAAAGAAACGCCTCTGCACATTCTAACTGATTGCGGACCCTTAATGCGCATACGTAACACTCATCTGGGAAACTATCTACTCCGCCCAGAAGAACTGAAATTGCTCAAGGCTAAGCAACTTCTTCTATTCATTAAAGACATAGGGCTTAGCAGTGAACTATAGCCGTAGCAGCGATCACAATAGATCTTTTAGGCCGCAGTGGTACTGGTCTCTTTCCCTAGACCTTCATAGCTGTTTGCACATAATAAAAAAAATGATTTGAAGTGGATATTGATTCGTTAAAGTGGAGTGATTTCTTGAATTAGTGTCCTCGCGTGTGAACTATTATAGAAAACGACGAAACAAGTGCTTCGATGTCGATATAAACTTCAAGTTATTTTGATCGCTTGGGCGCCTTATGAACTTGAGTGGTTGTTAAGCTTTCATCAAAAGCTCCCAAGGGCTTTGCAATGTGACGCATCAGCATATTGTGAAGAAAAAGAAATATAAAATGAAGATTCCGAAAGAAATGATAAGCTCAGAAGGGCAAGAACCCAGAGCCGTAAAGGCAGTTAATAAAAAAATACGATATATGACCACAAACTAATAAGAGTACTCACGTAGACAGAGAAACCTATAGACTAATGATCGCCGTGGCCTCGAGTGAGAAAGGACGATAACGAATTTTTAGGTTATACAATAATCTTCATGACTTTTAAACACATTTAGATAAAAATTTTAACTGTTCTAAGAACTGAACTGACCAAGATTCACCAATCTTAAGCTCACAAAACACTTTTTTCTCACTTAAACCAACTTGTAAGCTCCTTAAATCGCTACGCTGTTAAAGTTGTTTAGCAAACTGTAGAGTTTGCTAAACAAAAAAACCGGCACGGAGAAAGGGACAAACAATCACACCGCTCTATCTCATTTCTATGCAAGACGTATGCATAAATCTATCTTTTTCGTGTGCGAATGCGAAAGAAGGCGTCAATTTGTCTATAGGTTTCTCTGTCTACGGTCTATAGCGATATATTACTTTCCTCTATGGTCTATAGCGAGCCTCAAAAATTGAAAGTGACATTTAGGTTTTTAAATTTATCAAGGCAAAGGCATTTATTTGTTTCAGCCTAGTAGCTAGTGGCTGTAATCCTCCCAGAACTTGGAAAATTTATCTTTATTGGTTTAAATTTATGTACGTGTTCACAATGTGACCACGTACATAAATTTAAACCATTATTGACGTTTATTTAGACATAAAGAAATAAAATACAGAAATAATTATTGAGTCTTTTATTTTTACATTTCACTGTAAATTTAAAAGTGCAAGCAAATTCTTTCCTTCTAGGCGTAAAACATCAATTTCTTTTAAATATTGCCACAGCTAATGAAACCTCTATAATTACAATAATTTTTTTTTATCGAAGGAACTGATGGTTCTTTGCACATAGGTCACATATTCAATTCAATGATGTAACAATTTTTCTCAAATTTTTCTCCTTGTAGTATCTATATATGGTTTATACTTGTTGCTCCTCCATTTACCAAATATGCAGCAATATTCAAAGCTTAAGCTATTTAATAGCCGAGTGCTCCTAGGCAGTTTTTACCCTGCAACAAATATAAAATTTATTTAAAAAAAGTAATAATGTATTGATAAACATAGTAGCATTTTGTTTAACATTGTGTGAGTATTGCAAAAGAGTGATTGTATCTAAAAAGGACCTAAGGGTTAATTTTTCAATGATCATAAACAAATGAGAATTACAATTGAATTAATAAAATAGTTCAATTGTTTGACTTCACATCAGCTTGTAAACACTCTACTATTGTACTTGGCAGATTAGCATTCACATTCTACTTTTTTGGTCGCCAGTTTAGATTTTACTACAATCTGTCGAAAATCCATAAGATGTCCATTAATAAACACAGGATAATATAGATAGGTGTATCTTAATGGCTAATTTAATTTGCTTGTTTGTATAATAAGAAAAATATGTGAGAAAAGTATTAATGAATATTTCCCTATATTGATATCCATTGTGTCAATCTTCCTTATTTTCATCAGTTCCAGAAGTAGATGGCATGGGCATTTCTGCATGTATCAAAATATATATTATTATCAGGAATACTGAAAATAGATTAAATATAAACACTCTTTCCTCAGTTACCATCAGATTTGCATGAATTAGATATGGGGTAATATTCTATTCTGACTAAAAAAAATCTCACTTTGTAGATTCATAATATGCGCCTTAAATGATCATGCAATTGAAAGAGAATTGTCAGGTGTTTAGTCAAGTCAGTCACACACCATTTAGTGTCACTGCTACTAGTTATGTCAAGTGCAATAAAACAATTTATTAAAAGTCAAAATGCCATCTTATGTTTCATTCTAAAAATTATTATGCAAGTTTAATGTTAAAAATGTATCATTTAATATAACTACTTTTATCGTGTTTTATTTAATTCAATTTACTTTCAGGTGTTTTCCAGCTTTTAAAAGCTGAACATACTCGGGTAACACTGACATTGGGATGCCAATCACCTCAGTCCCCCATAACTATGAGTGCTGGAAAGCACCTGAAATGTTTGGAATTAAAATCAACTTTAACACTATAAGATCTGTACAAGTAGTTTTATTTAATGTGTAGCGTTCGAGTAAATATAAGCAATCACAAAGTATCATTTACTTAAAACACTAAATCTGTATCTAATAAAAGTCATCAAGTGTAACACACAAAATATTCAGTCAAATAAATATATCTGAATATACCTTCTTTCAAAAATATCACTTACCATCTCTCAAAAATTTTTGAGGTGTCAACCTCCATCATTTTAATATTTTATAAATTAGATGGCATCATGGGCAACAGAATACCTATAAATAAAAATGACATATTAATGAGGCACATTACAATAGTATTCTTTTTTAGGCATAGCAAATTTGAGAAAGTATAGATAAAATAAGTTATTAAATACAAACATTATAGAGAAATTAGATTACACTATTAAATCATGCAAAATAAAGGTATTTGTGACATTTTACATAAACACATATTTTTTCTTTTACTGATACTTCCATAATATTATTGTGTATCAAAACGGCTTTTTCCTTTTTTATGTATTTTATTTGTGTTAAAAATATGTATTTTGTTATTTGTGTTTTGTTACTAGTGCTTCAATGTATTCTTTGATTGAGTAGAAACATTTTTCAATTAAGAATGCTTTAGTTTTTTAATCAATAGTGTAATCTTATTTTCAGTTTTTATGTGGATAAGTAATTTATTGTAAATGTTGTGTTTTTACAGCCATGTAAAATCTTTAATTCTTAATGGTGGTAGGTATAGTCTGTCTCTGTGGTGTGTTTTTAAATTGTGGTTGTCTTTTATTTATTTATTGCATTTACATGTGGTTTTGTGTGATAAATTACAGCACATGCAGCCAGCAAGGGTATAACAATATGAAATAAAGCTAGCTAGCTCTTATGCCTTAATTCTAATACTAATATTTATATTATTATAGTATTTCGTGTATATTCTATTACTATATTTATTTATTTACTTTAACTTAACATAATATTCATCTAATTTATAGTAACATTTCTTAATCAAAAAGCTATTTAGTGCTATCACAAACTTCTTATATTCCTCTATTTCTATTATATTTGGGTAATGTATTATATACAGGGTGGGCCAGAAAGAATTGCGAATTTGAAAAAATCATTAAAAATAAACTAAGTACAATTCACATACAAATTTTTATTTCTACAAAAATGTACATCTGGGAAATCCATTTATTAAAAATAACATCATCCACATGTGCACCATCGCGCTGCAAACATTCTTCGAATCTGAACCTCAAATTGGTAAAAACTCGCTGGCACATTGCACGGGGAATATCTGCCATTTCTTTCCGGATATTGGTCTTCAACTGGTCAATTGTGGCTGGGTTATTGGAGTAGACTCTACTTTTTAGGTATCCCCACAAAAAAAAGTCCAGTGGTGTAAGATCCGGACTTCTAGGAGGCCATTCAATGTCACCTCGGCGCGTTATCAGTTTCTCACCAAACATCTCGTTTACGACCGTCAAAGAGGCATTAGCTGTGTGGCATGTCGCGCCATCTTGTTGAAACCATGTCGCACGATTACAGGCTTCAAATTGTTGCAGTTGTGGAAAGAAAAAATCCCTTAACATGGCTATGTATCGGTCAGAATTTACAGTGATAGATTGGCCTTGTCGATTTTCGAAGAAGTGGGGTCCGATAATTCCGTGCGCTGACATGGCCGCCCAAACTGTTACTTTCGGCGAATGTAGAGGCTTTTGATGTTTTGCACGTGGGTTCTCTGCAGCCAAGTAACCTGTTTATTCACCTGCCCATTTATGTGAAAATGGGCTTCGTCGGAGAACAGAATATTGTTGAAACTCCGAAAGCGTTCCAGCATCGTTTCAACAAAAGCTCTCCTTAAAATTGGATCATTTGGCTGTAATTCCTGCACAAGTTGAATTTTATACGGATGCAATTTCAGATCTTTCAACAAAATGCGACGCAAAGATGTTCTGGACACCACAAGATCGGCTGAACGCTTTCGAGTCGATAGAACAGGATTACGTTGAACTGAAGCTCTAACTTGTTCAATTGTGTCTTTCGTTCTTGTTGACCTTGGGCGTCCCGCAGGCTTCTGTTTGAGTCGAACCAGTAGCTTCGAACTTTCTGACCCACAATCGAATCACGCTTTTCTTCGGACACTGATTTAGGTCATGTAATCCAAACTCACGTCGAAATAAACGCCGAACAATAGCGCACGAATCGTAATTTTTATAATAATGTTTAACGCAGAAAGCACGTTGCACTCCCGTGAAGTGATCCATCGCGACTAAATTTCCGAGAACCGAGCTACTTAACCCCACCACTCGCGCAGTCCCCTCTCTAAAGCTTCAAATGCAAGAGTGTTTTTAAAATCGTACTCCTTTCTGGCCCACCCGTTAGTTTAACTGCCATGGAATATGGTCCAGAACTGTATAAAAATACAGTGGTTTTAGGCAATATTGATTTATTCTCTTCCTAAATTGTATATCTATTTATATTATCATCACTAGCTTTTTGAAATATATCTATGTATTTTCTTACTAATTTACATGATTCTAATATATATATAAAGATGTAACTGTTAATATCCTGTATTGTATAAAATATGGTCTACAGCGAGTCAATATTTGCTAGAACTCTTATACATTTTTTACTTTTGAGAAGTGATTTATGTTTTTGTTATATCCAATAAAACACCGTAATTTATGTAAATACGTGTATTGTGCTAGGTAGCAAGACTAATGACAAAAACTAGTTTACTTAACTAACATTATTTCTTAACAATGTTATGTAAGTACCCACATTCATAACTATTTATCACAATCCATGATATATAACATACCTTTCCCCCAAGCATGTACATTCAATATTAATTTTTAACTCAATAATCAACTTCTAATACTTAACATAATCTAATACACTAAATATATATTTATATTAAAACAGGTAAACTTAAGCTATGAAATTATTACGTCTCTCATATGGTGACTTAGAATGAACATTCATTTTATTCCTAATTTTTCCCCCGGAATAAGTTATTTCCGTATTAGTTGGTATACCTAACATTTCCGCCCATTTATCCTGACTAGGTATTTCAATAGTCTCTTCTCTTACATCATTATTGGTCTTATCTTTCCCTATGTTATCGTCAGTTATTTCCTCTGTTAAGTCATTGTCCAATAGTTCACTATAAACTGTGATATCTTGCTCTTCGGACATCTCTTCATCCTCTCTTGCACTCAAGTCAGATTGCCTTTTGTTAATTACTTGATCAATATGCCTATTTACTAAAGATCCATCATCTGTAGCAATCTCATAACTAGATGGTCCCTTTCTATTTACCACAGTTCCTGGTAACCATCTTGGCCCATTACCATAATTCCGATACATTACATTTTGGCCCGTCTTTGATTCCGTGTTAATTTTTTGAGCATTACTAATAATTTGTTGTGTTCTCTTTCTTTGCTGGCGATTATCGGGATGAATTGTATCTAGCAAAGTTCGTAGGCGTCTGTTCATTAAAAGTTTTTAGTTGCTGTACAAGGTGTAACCCGCAAACCTAGTAAAATGTTAGGGAGTTTAATATCCCATGGAACATCATCCATCTTGCGTAGTTTGTCCTTAATGGTTTGGACCATCCTTTCAGCCAAACCATTGGTAGCCGGGTGATACGGTGCTGTAGTGACATGTTTAATTTTATTGGCCTCAAGAAATATTTTCATTTCTGTCGATACAAATGGGGTTCCATTATCTGAAACCAAGGTTTCACACAATCCATGTGTTGCGAACATATCCCTTAAATGTCGGATAATTGTTCCAGAGGTCATATTCTTAACCATAAAAACCTCTGGCCATCTCGAATAAGCATCGACGACAATCAGAAATGTCTTATTTTGAAAAGGTCCTGCAAAGTCTACATTAATTCGAGACCACGGTTTAGTTGGTGTTATCCATTCACAGCTTGTTTTAGGGGGCATATGCCTGTTTTCTAAACATTTTGAGCATTCACCCACTAAAACTTCAATGTCATGATTCAATTCTGGCCACCAAATGTAACTTCTTGCCAATGCCTTCGTTTGCACGACACCAACGTGTGTCTTATGTAAGGCACCCAGACAAGGCTCACGCAGCGTTGGCGGCACCACTACGCGGCAACCAAATAAAATACATTCCTCATGTAATGAGAGTTCGGTACGATGTAACCAATACGGACGCAGTTCACTGTCCGTGACTCTTTCCGGCCAACCGCTTAGTATATAGTGACTTACTCGTGATAAAGTTCGGTCTCTCTTCGTTGCCGATGCTATGAGATCCACATCCACTGGAAAATCAGCAGGTGTCTCTGCCATAAGCAAAACATCACAAAGCTGTTGTTCTGGTTGGTCTGGAACTGGCTGTGGCCATCGACTTAACCCATCAGCATTTCCAATTTCTCTACCTGGCTTATAAACAATTTTGTAGTTGTGTGACGTAAGTATTAACGCAATTCTAGTTAAGCGAGGTGACAGGATCGCTGGCATCGGCTTTTGAGGATCAAATATACCAAGCAAAGGCTTGTGGTCTGTGATTATCGTGAAAGACCTTCCCATTAAGTAATTATGAAATTTAACTACCCCAAAAATTATAGCAGTGGCCTCTTTATCCAATTGGGAATAACGTCTCTCATGCGCATGCAAGGTTCTTGAGCCCATCGCAACAGGCCGCTCTGTTCCGTCCTCCATGACGTGTGACAACACAGCGCCGACGCCGTATTCAGAGCTATCACAGGTAAGAACCAATGGCTTATTAAGATCGTAATGAACAAGAGTCAACTCTGAAGAAAGTAGACGCTTGGCAGTATCGAAACTATTTTGTTCTCGGTCAGTCCATTGCCACATTTGTAACTTATCAAGTAATCTATGTAGAGGTTCAAGTCTTCAAGTATAGTTGCTTTGTGAGGTATGAACCTCTCATAAAAGTTGTAGAGGCCTAAAAATGCTTGTAACTGTTGTATATTTTTAGGTTTTGGAGTTTTAAGAATCGATTCAACCTTGCTCTGAGCTGGATGAATACCATCCGCATCGATTACAAAACCTAAAAATTCTACGCGTCTTTTAGCAAATTTACATTTATCTTTATTAAGACGTAATCCAGCTCTTTCAATGCGCTCCAATACTGTTTCAAGACGTTGAGTCATTTCTGTCAATGTGCGACCGCTGATGATGATGTCATCAATAAGCACGGCTACACCTGGTACGCCGGCTAGTAGTGCGGTCATCAGGCGTTGAAATATTCCCGGACACGCCTTCACGCCGAATGCCAATCTGTGTACGGCATACAATCCTTTACATGTATTTAAGGTCAAGAGCTTCGCTGTGGCATCTGTGACCACCACTTGCGTATATGCTCTGTCTAAGTCAAGTGTCGTGTAATAAGATCCACCTGCAATAACTGCAAAAACTTCACTAGCCGTGGGCATTGGGTACGTATCCGACTCAGTAGCTTGATTCACCGTACTTCGATAGTCTCCGCAAAGTCGTATGTCTCCATTTTTCTTTACTATAGGAACTACTGGTGTCGCCCATTCTGAAAAAGATAAAGGGCGCAGTACCCCCTCCCCCACTAAACGATCGATTTCATTTTCAATCCTTTCTTTTAACGCGAATGGCACTGGTCGAGCTTTTAAAAATTTAGGAACAGTGTTAGGCTTAATTTGTATGTTCACCGGGTTCCCTCTATATGTACCAAGCCCTTCTCTGAAAACTGTATTATATTTATTAAGCACTTTATCAATATCTGTCATATCAATATCAATAACATTAATAGTATTTAAAGTAATATCTAATGCTTTAAACCAGTTTCGACCAATCAGATTTGGGCCCGTGCCCTTCGCTATAACAATATTCAAATTACACTTAATGTCTTTAAATTGCACTTGCACTGTAGCTTGACCCATTACTTGTACAGGGGAGTTGTTCCACGTACGTAACTTATGAGGCAGTATATCTAGTATAGTTCTAGAGTGTAACTCCATCCATGTGTGTTCATTCAAAATTGAGAAAGCGGACCCAGAGTCCACCTCCATGATCACTGGCACACCATTCAATAGAAGTTTTATTCTATATGCCGGTACCCGTGAAGTCAAACTCTCCAAGTTATAAATGCCATTTAGATGTGTATCTAACTCTTGTGTATAATTCACATTGCCCCTACGGCTTTTCTTTTTAGCTGTGCAAATTTTTTCAATATGCCCCTTTTTCTTGCAAAAATTACAAACAGCATTTATGAAACGACACACACGGTAGCAGAATATAATATTATTTTGAGATTTCATGGCATTGACATCCATGGGCTCATATGATGATGTTACAGGTGAAGTAGTGGAAATTGAATCCCTGGAGGTGGCAAAGTTAGTGCTTGTCACACTTTGCATCATGCGGACATCCCTCACTGCACTTTCAGATGATAGCATGGCATCCACTACATCCGTATACCGTAGATTGTCTTTTTTTAGCAATTCATACTGCAATTTCTTATCACTCATACCGCACACAAGTCTGTCACGAAGCATACGTTCCAAGTCCGTAAAATTGCACCCCGCACTTATTTTTCTAATATGTGCAATATATTCTGATACTGATTCATTTTCTTTTTGATCACGTTTATAAAATTGGAAAGACACTGAAATCTCATTTGGTTTTGGACTATAATGCTTCGTAAGAATTGTTACAATTTCCGCGAATGTCACATCACTAGATTTTTTAGGCGTAATTAATGCCAAAACAGTCTCATATACATTTGCGCCACAAACCGTGTAAAAATTCGCCCTTTGAACCGCGTCCGAGACGATTCCATTCGCCTCAAAACAGTACATTAATCGTTCTATATAATTGTCCCAATTATCACTTTGTAAATTAAATTCGTGAAATTTTACAGATTTACGTTCCATTGTTTCACTTTTTACACTTCGTCGCCACTGTTATATCCAATAAAACACCGTAATTTACGTAAATACGTGTATTGTGCTAGGTAGCAAGACTAATGACAAAAACTAGTTTACTTAACTAACATTATTTCTTAACAATGTTATGTAAGTACCCACATTCATAACTATTTATCACAATCCATGATATATAACAGTTTTTAAGTACAAATATGAAAATATTAAATATGTATGAGTGTGAGGATGTAATGTTTAATAAAGTAGGGCCTACAATTGTCAAGATCTTGAATTTGGCTTATGATTCTGATACATTTCTTTTGCAGTATAACTAGATCCTGAATGTGTAAACTATTTCCCCACAACATAATGCCGTATCTTAACCAGGAGTATGCATATGCATAGTATGCTGACAGTGCGGGTTTTTCTTTGGTGCCGATTTAAGTTGGAATAGAGTATATGTGAATTTAGTTTGTTTTTAATATGTTCAGTGTGTGTTTTCCAGTAGGTGTGCATGTTTATAGTTATACTAAGTAATTTGAATGTATACACGGTTTCTATTTATATGTTGTTGTATCTTGTGTCAATATTTATGGGGGTGTTTTTGTATGTTCTACATTTGATAGTTTTTGTTTTGTCATAGTTTATTTCTAAGTAATGGTCGTTGAGCCACTGATTTACTGTCTAATTTCCTCAAGTACTGGTGTTGGGTTTTTGTTTTGTCATAAGTAATCAATATTGATATATCATCAGCGAATAAGATTGGCAATGTTTGTTCCTTATTTAGAACTTTTACTAAGATGTAACTGTAGATTATGTAAAATTATATCATACAGTACTTTATCGTATGCTTTTATGTCAAGTAGTACTCTTACAGTCTTAGTACACACTTCTTGTGTGTATGTTTTAGTCAGTCTGGATATATTTATATACTGCTAGTGTAATTGATCTTGAATTTCTAAAGCCGTTTTGGCTGTCACCGAGAATATTATATTTTTCTAAAAAATCATATAATCTGATATACATGGCTTTTTCAAACACTTTTACAAATATGAGTAATAGGGCTATAGGTCTATAATTACTAGGAGTGTAAGTGGCACATATTTAGGAAATGGTATTGTACTATTGTATGTAAATAAGTTTTACCTTCTAATATATTCAGGTGAAACTGGGAATTGCTGTCCATTAATTGAGTACAAATGTGGTTTACATGTTTTTTTTTATTTTGGGAATAAGAGTTGTCAATGGTCAAATCAACATATTCTGAAAAATAAAACAATTATATTAAAAGCAGGATCCTTAATATATTATTAACAAGACATCTTAGTGTAGCTGGTCTATATTGCCTTAAAAAAAAGCAAAATAAAGATAAAAAAGTCTACTATGACTGTTTCATTATACAGGCACTATATCAAAAAATATTCACCATTGTTAATGATAATAAGACTTGTTCTTTTCTATTTATAGATAACATCTATTAAACAAGAAACACCAAATGTTTTGGCACTAAAAGAAGGGATACGTTACTAACTAGTTTTGTGTTTTTGTACTTATATATATTTTTTTTAAAGAATATTAACAATGCTATAAACATTACTAATATTAATATGGTTTTTTATATTTAAATGAAAACAGATAAGATCAGATAATCATATACATTAATTGATTATACCTATAGTATTTCAAATATTTTCATTTGAAATAAAATAAATTCTGTGAGACATGCCGACTTTTTACACAATAAAGTCAGGGTGATATGCTTGAGAGCAAAGTAGGTATAAATTTATAATGTACATAACCAAGTAAATTATAATTTAGTACTGTAATATACACGCTGGGGAATTAACAATTTTTTTGTTTTGTTATATTTATTTGGACAGTATTTAGGGTACAAATATAAATGATAGTTTATACTTGTAGTGACACTTTGATATTGTCACCATAATTTTCATATATTGCATTGTAATAGTTTTTAGACTACGGTATGTACAATATGTATATATGACATTACTGGTGTTCATATTAATAAAATAATGGAAAATTATAATCAACGCACCTGCCAAGTTTGAAAACCAAGGCATATACACTACTCTTGCGGCAACTATGACAAAATTTTCCCTAAGTGGCAATCTATGGGGGATGCCTATAGTCAGCAGCAGGCTTTCATAGGATGTATATTTATAGGAATAATTAATTAAGAAAAAATAAATAGAAAAATTACTGACCGGTCGTGATCTCAGCTTCTGTAAACAACGTGAGATATGCACCCTGGTAAGTAGTAAGTAAGTAATAAGGCAGTTACTTTGATCTTAGATCCTGGTGAATACCACGTATATATATATAACATACACAAATAATACATACATAACACATATATAATAAAAAGTAACACACATGCAACTTATTATTATATAAGTTTTTGTACATAACCTTTGAATTTTTTACATATTTAACTTTGCCGTAGTCACTAGCTTGCTACGTATTTATTTATCTATGGTCGTCACAGAATACATTTACCCTGACGGTAGCTTGCTACATATTTATTTATCTATGCCCACAGAACACTAATACCCTTTGTCTATGCCTGACGGGGTCGTCGTGTAATGGCCGCGGCGCAAATCGCGTCACGTGGTGGGATGTGGACAGAAACGTCAAAACAAACGTCAATCGTCAATTTAAATCCGTAGCTAAACTCTGATTTTTCATTCCGTAGAATTCTGACAGCTATCATTTTTTGACATGTCAGAGATTACAAACCTTTTTTGGCCGGGCACATTTTTCAATTTCAATACGTGTCTGAACATCTGAGTCTATACATACATTTTATTTGTTAGTAAATGTATCCATTTTATTAAGTGCGGTACTCTACATGGTTTTACGGCGAGTGATAATTACGTCCCTTTTCATTACAAACAGTAAAAAATGCACAAGTAAAAATAACATATTTTTATTAAAATCTTTAGTCATCATTAATACTTATATCACTATCTTCATCATCGTCATCATCGCTGACATGAATTATTAAAGAGTCTGCGACTGTGTCAATGAAATCGTCGAGAGTGCACATCTTATCTTCTTCTTTGATTGTATGGCTGATACATTCTTGCCATTTATCAGGAGTAATACTACTTATACTTTCCAGTAATAGTTTTTTAACTTCCGCCATTTTAAAACTTCTGTTGTGTCTTGCGACATGCCCCTTCACTTGAGCCCACACCAATTCAATAGGGTTGAGCTCACAATGATATGGGGGCAGTCTAAGCACAGTAATGCCTTGTGCTGTGGCCATCTCGTCTACAATACACTGTTGATATTTGTATTTCTCCTGACCCACAATTTCCAATAAATTAACTTTTAGCATTTTTTCTTCAAAATTTAAATTTTTTGAAGTCAACCACGCTTGGATATCGCCTTTTCTCCATGCACTCGTTGGTACTTTTTCGACCTTCCTCGAATGATAGGGAGCATTATCCAACACTACTACCGAGTTTGGTTTTAATTTTGGAAGTATTTTTGTGAACCACTCCTCAAATACTTCCCCAGTCATCTCCTTGTGGTAATCTGCCAAGCCTTTTTTTTGCCTCAAAAACTAATAAACCATCTTCCAAAAATCCTTCTTCGCTCCCTATATGGCTAACTATAAGTCGCCCCCCCTTTACATACTTTTTTTTACATATTTATACATTTGTAGCCAATAGCTGTGAACATCGATTTTTGAGGACCATAGACATAAGGCTAGGAATATTTGTATAGAGAATACCACCCGTGTGTATGACTATATGTATTATGTATAATTATAGATTATTGATTTTTATAGATTACTGTATATTATATCACTGTTTGAAATATATTATATTATACTAGGTAGATTTTGGTAGATTTGAATTTATTAAATCGAAATGTATAATTCTCTGAACAATAACTAATTTGTTTTTATCATTCTTTTTAAGTAGTATACTACTTTCTACTGAGTGGTTCTTTTGGTATAAATTCCTTGTCCTCCACTGTCTTGTAAATAAGAATTTAAGGTTATATTACATATTTTTTTTAGTTTTGTCCGAGGTTATCTTTCCAACAGTTTTATTTGGCTAAGCTTTCCATTGACGTCCGTCGAGTTGGGGGTTGATATTTTTTTTACAGAAGGATGACATTAATATAAGCACACACGCAAAGTTTTAACATGCGGAAACGCGTAGTTTTTGAGAAAAAAATTATCGAAAATCAATAATTTTTGCAATATTTATGTCAAATCCTACCATAGATTATATCGTATTACAGATATATCACGACATTGAATGTTCCGTTTTAAGTACGGTTAACTTGTCAAATGTTGGGTGACATTTCATTTTATAAAAATTTACGTAAATAATTATATTTTGTATCCATTTTAATAGTTTTCATGCATGCATATATATTTAGCAGTTTATATTTAACTAAATAACAATTATTTTCATTACGAGCTATTAAAATTAAAATGTGCAGTGTTTACGGCCTTTTCCCGGCTTGTGGAACGAAACGTAAAACTGACGCTATTTAGTGTTGTCAGTGTCTTCCTCAGTCACTGTCATCGTTTGTGTTCCTAGCAGTTGAGATCGTTTACGTACTCCTGTCGTGAAAACAACGTTTGACTACCATCATGGCGTCTCCGAAGCCCCAAGTTTCGTGTTCTGCTGTGCCGTCTGTAGAATTGAGTGTAGTGAAAGTGTTGGACTCTGATGAGCCACTTGTCGCGAGCTCTTCTGCAGGCACCCCCTGTGTGCAAGTGTTGGACTCTAGTGAGCCACTTGTGCCCATGACTGTGCTATCGAAATCAATAGCTGGTAGTTCCCGCGCCACTGTTCCCAGTACCGTGTCGGTACTGCCGCCTGCGTCTCCAACGTCGTCTGAGAGCAGCGTGGCTGATGCGGAACCTCAAGCTCCTGGTTCGTCTGGCCGAAGAGTCCACTACTATGCCGAGGAAATAAGGTTGGTTCACTGCTAAATATCGCAAAGATCCTTTCTTACAAATAGTGGCAGCCATAAATTATGTTTATAAATTAAAGTAGTTATAAAAGTTAATATTTTGGTGTTATATTGGGTGCAATAGCGAGCGAAGCGAGCCTAGGGAGCGTGGGGCACCCCGACTCGGACAGGTTAGGTTAGAAGGAGATGACGGGGTCGAGTGAGCGGCGAAGCGAGCGAATAGACCCCCGTCATCTCCTTCGTGGTTATTTTTTTGTAAACCACTCAGAAGCAGGAGCCCCGCAAAGCGGGGCTCCGTCGACTGGGCTTCCCTCTACTGCACCTCGTTAAGTGGCGTGGGGCTTCCGTCCCCCAACTCTCTCTCCCCATAAATCAGGTTAAATTGTCATAAAAATTACGAAACATAACCTCAAAATGAGATTTTTAAAAATTTATAAAAAAAAACTAAGCATGTCCGGCAGGAAGGGGATGTAGGGGGTGACTCTACAACTCTTCTCCCTCCCCCCACACCACCCCCCACCCCCTAATTCAGGAGACCGAATTGTAAACCTTACCTGTGGTTTCTTATATAGCACATATGTAAACTTCACAGAAAAAGCTGACGAGTAAAACAGTAATTAGATTTCTAATAGGAATATTTTTGTTTGTTTTAGGTGCCATTGGAACATGTATAAAATCATAACCCGGCTCAACACCCCAGCTCAGTGCATTGCATTTGCTGAAGAGCATAGGCTCCTTCCTACAGAAAAAATGTGCTCATATCATAGGAGACCTATGGCGTTAAGCTCCAGCAGTAAGACTGGTCAGCTTGGCATATTTCGATGCAGGAAGAGTAATTGTCGCTCTAAGGCAGTGAGTCGGGCAGCGGGAACATGGTTCGAGAATGCGCGGCTGTCCATTGAGTTACAATTTTTACTGATGTATATGTTCAGCCAAAAATATAGTTATCATCAAGTTAAATTAGAGACAGCCCGTGAAGATAAAGAAACAATTTTATCAACAAGGACAATAACTGACTGGTTTTCTTACTGCCGAGAGACAGTAGTAGTTTATGAATTGGAGCACCAAGAAGTTAATGGCAAGATTGGTGGTCCAGGCAAAATCGTGCAAATAGACGAATCAAAATTTGGAAAACGCAAGTACAACAGAGGGAGACATATTGAAGGCCATTGGGTGCTGGGAATGATAGAAAATGGGAAAGATGATTTGAGATTAGAAGTGTGTCCCGATAATGATAGATCTGCGGAAATGTTGGTGCCACTAATACAAAAGCATGTGGAGGTAGGCACTGAAATCCATACCGATTTTTGGAGAGCCTACGATTGCCTACCTCAATATGGATATATACATAAAAAAGTTAATCACAGCGACCCTATAAATAAATTTGTGGCACCAGATGGGACACACACACAACGAATAGAAAGCCACTGGCGAAATTTAAAAGTGATGTTCGGTAGAGAAGGTTATAAAACAAACTTTACAGACTGGCTAATTGAATATTCTTGGCGAAGAAAAATAAAAATAGCACATAAAGATGTTTTCATAGAATTAATTAAAGCAATACAATATGTATATAAAATTGATTAATAAATTATGAATTTTATTTGATTTATTTTAAAAGTAATGAAATAAAATAGGTTAGGTTTAACTTATGTCGAAGAACCGAATTGGTTGACCCTGACTCCACTTGGTACAAGTCTGTCCTACCCCTCGAGTGTTATTATAGAGCCGGAAGCGCGTAGGGAGAGCAGCCTCCGCCTGCTGTAACAAATCGTAGGCATCGGACGAGCCGGAGCGGCTGAGGCTGGTCGCCGAAGGCGACCAACAAGCCGAAGCTGCGAAGGCGAGGATGGATGCCTGCGATTTGTTACGCAAAGGCGAAGAGGCTGCTCTTCCCGCAGCGCCGTAGACATTGCAGTCTCAAAATAGACACAGAAATCCCTCTCAATCAGTCCCCCTATTTTTTTTTCTGATGAAAGGGGTTCCCCCCTTCCGTAGGGGGGAACCCCCCTCCCCCAAGGAGGAGTCCTGGTTTTTTACACTTAATATTAATCCATAAAATGAGGAAAATTTTCTCAGAATTAAAAATGAAAAAACTCGAAAAGGGGGGGGCTCCGCAACTTTTCCTTTTAAGGGGGGGGTATTAAACCTCCCCCCCCTCCATCCCCCCTCCCCCTCCCCCCCTCAATTCGATGGACGTCAATGGAAAGTCGTACCTTTTATTTTCTTGATAACATTTGGTGGTTTCGTTTGTAAAATGTCTAAATTAAGTGCTTTAACTTTTACTAAAAATACCGGTGCTAAGCATACAGCTACCGTTGTTTTCTGTCATGGCTCTGGTAAGAATAATTATGTTACAGGTATAATGTCCTTCACACCGAATTTCGTTCATGGCGGCCAACCTCAACAGAAACTAGCCATCGGCGCAGGACAGGATTATAGTGCCCAAGTGTAAGCGCAAGTTTAAGCACTCTCTGTTCCCTCACTCTCATAATCTGACGGGACGGTATACCGACACGACCGGAGAGAGATCAGACGCAGGACCAACGGCTTTACGTGCTTTCCGAGGCACGGGGGTGAGACACCGCCAACTTCCTGACTCCAGGCAGCTACTGAGAAGTTCTGGATGGAAAAACTCAATGATTATTTTTTTTTGCCCCGACCCAGGATTCAAATCCAGGACCTCATGATCAGCAGTCTCCCTACTACAACCACTAGACCATGTGAGCAAGTTTAAGTCACATTACAGGTATATAAATATAATACATATATATGTTTTTTAATGTTCTCAATTCAATTGTTATGAGTATTGCCTAAGCATAATACTTACTGACTTCTATAGTCTTAAAGTGTTGGAAGGTGTCAATGAGAAGTGGATGTATTAATCTGTTTATATCTTTAATTAGACTACTATTTATTCTACTTTAAAACTAATATATACTGTTGTGAGGGTTACAATGCAAGTCACCTCAAGGGGAATATCTTAATTGAAACATGTACAAGGCAAAGACTGTCTATAACTAGAATGTATGTCAACAAATTTTTGTATTGTGGTTTTAGGTGCTTAAATTCAACTTTGACCAATGTTGTTAAAAAATCTGTTTTGGATAGGCCTATGATGCTCTATGGAACTGTGATATTACAGCTGGCCTAGTGGGTTAACTCAGTGTTACTTGGTATGCACATGGGCTAGATTCAGGTTTTTCGTATTTGTTAAAAATCATTAGAAAGATATTTGTACCTAGCAGAATAATAGTAACTAACATAGCCTAATAAATCAGGAGGCAGAACTGGTTGTGTGACAGTCACATACCTAGAATAACTGGCAACAGATGGTGATCTGGTGGCAGCACATACAAAAATATCTAATTTTTAGTGAATTCCTCACCCCACCCAGATGAAACATGAAATAATTTCAGATCTTGTAGTAAGACTTTAAAGTACAGCACATCGGAAGTAAGACAGTAGAATGATTATATATGATGTAAAGAGAAAATGCTGATGATGCAGTGCTTATTGCACCATCAGAAGCAGAACTGCAAGCATTAGTCACGTGTATGAAAGAGGAATGTGAAATTAAAGGTCTGTGTGAATGCTAATAAAACTAAGGTTCTGGTATTTGAAAAGGACGAAGAGAGAACGAAATGTGAAATATGGGTAAATCAGGAATGTCTAGAACAGGTAAATGAAATTGTATACTTGGGGAGTGCTTTCAGCCAGGATGGAAGATGTGATTTAGATGTGGACAGGCGTGTCGCTGCCGGGAACAAAGTCAATGGTGCCCTGAATGCGTTAGTCAAAAGGCAAGGTGTAGTGAAAAGTGCACGCCTTGCAATACATAACGCAGTATTGGTACCGACTTTGTTATATGGCAGCGAAACCTGGGTATGCCAGAAGAAGCATAAAAGCAAGTTGAATGCAGTGGAGATGTGATCTCTTCGTAAAATGTGCCGCATTACCATAGCCGACCGAAAGCGAAACAAAGAGATTCACAATATGGCAGGATTGAAAGATGACCTTATCACAAAAATTGATAGGGGCGTACTCCGATGGCTTGGGCACATTGAGCGAATGAGTGAAGACCGAATGGTGAAGAAAATATATAGCGCGAAAGTAAATATTAAAAGGTCTCGAGGTAGACCGAGACTAACTTTCGAAGACCATGTGAGCAAATTACTCAAAGAGGGGAAGGTCAAGAGTACTCGGATACCTAGACATGCATGTATGAAGACGATAATGAACCTGAAAGAAGCGAAAGAGGTATGTAAGGATTGTGACACTTGGCGATAAGTTACTTAAATAAACATATCGTTTTTATTATCCTTCATTTCAGATTAATTTCTGAATGAGTTATGAAATGAAAACAGAATCAAACCTATTACTGGGTGTTACTGCAAATAGTTTATCATATTTACTGAATGTGTTTTTGGACCTTACATGTTCATTTATTTAGTACCGTGACCCACTCTCTTTCACCTGTATATAATCTAATAATGTGACATTATTTAGATTTATGATAAAGACCATTTTTTATCAATGTTTAATTACCTATTTAAAAAAGACTAGTTTTTCAAATAAAATATTACTTCCCAGAATTGCTCTTTATCTGTTTATAAAATTCCTCACCATTGGTTCAGCCATTCTGAAGATTAACGTGGACACAGGCTAAAATTAAAAAAAGTAGTTAGGGTCATTTAGCTAGTTACCGACCAGGGTCAGTTAGCGACCATTAATAGGACCTACAAAACTAATATGAAAAAAATAAGAATTCTATCATTCTTTGCCAAAGGAAATTCACTAAGTAAGGAGAGGGATTTGTCTATGATTTTTAC